CCATCTCTATAATTTTGTCATTTTGAGAATGCTATATGAATAAAATCTTATGGTGTATAACCTTTTCATACTGGCCTTTTTTCATTCAGCATAATTTGCTTGCAATTCATCCAAGTTGTTGTATATATCAATAGTCTGTTATTTTTATTGCTGAATAGGAGTCCATGGTATGGATGTACCACACTCGGTTAACAACTCACTCATTGAAGGACATTTGGATTATTTCCAGTTTTTACCTACTACAAATTTAGTTTGGGTGAATTTTCGTGTGCAGGCTTTTCGTGTGAACATAGGTTTTCATTGCTCTGGGATAAATGCTCAAGAGTACTGTTGCTGGGTCATATGATAATTCATGCTTTGTTATATAAAAAACTGCCAAATTGTTTTCCAGAGAGGCTATACTGTTTTACATTCCCATTAGCAGTGTATGAATGATTCATTCTCTCTGCATCTTCAGCAGCATTTAGTGTTGTTACTATTTTCTATGTTAGACATTTGTATGGGTATATAGTGATATCTCATTGTGGGTTTAATTTGTATTTGCCTCATGGCTAATGGTGCTGAATATATTTTCATGTACTTATTTGCATCTGTAAGAAAACAAGACATGTTTCTTATGGTATGTGTGGGGTTTTTTTGTTGTTCATTTTCTGTGTTTTTTTCTATCAGAATTTTATATTGAAGTTTAAAAACCTTATTGAAAAAACAAAATCTTTCTCTTACTGTCTTAAAAAAGGAATTATCTTGCTACAAAACAAATCTTAATAAAGTTTAAAAGCTTGAAATCATACAAAGTATCATTTCCAGTTAAAATGGAATAAAACTGGAAATCAACAGCAGAAGGAAAACTGAAAAATCCACAAATATGTGGAAATTAAACAATCCTCTTAAAAAACCAAGGTCAAAGAGAAACATCACAAGAGAAATTAGAACATACTTGAGACAAATGGAAATTAAAACTCAAATACAAAACATTTGAAATATAGCAAAAGCAGTGCTAAGAGGAAAATATACAGCTGAAAACACTTATATTAAAAAAGATTTCAACTCAACAACTTAACTTTACACCTTAAAAACTAGAAAAAGAAGAAAATACTAAACCCAAAGCTGGCAGAAGGAAGGAGATAATAAAGATTAGAGCAGAAATATATAAATAGAGAATAGAAAAACAGTAGAGAAAAAAATCAACAAACCCAAGAGTTGGTTGTTTTGAAAAGATCAACGAAATTGACAAACCTTTAGTCAGATGGACTAAGAATGAAAGAAGACTCAACTAAAATCAGAAATGAAAAAAGGGATGCTATTTACAATTCAAGAACAAAAAAACAAGCAATCCAATTTAAAAATGGGCAGAAAACCTGAACAGAAACTTCTCCCAAGAAGACATACAAACCGCCAACAGATACATGAAAAAAAATGCGCATCTTCACTAGCTGTTAGAGCAATGCAATCAAAACCACCTCATACCTGTTAGAATGGCTATTATCAACAAGATAAGTAATACCAAGTGTTGGAGAGATTATGGGGAAAAAGGAACCCTCATATACTGCTGGTGGGAATGTAAATTAGTATAGACACTGTGGAAAACAGTATGGAGTTTCCTCAAAAAGTTAAGAATAGAATTAATGACCCAGCAATCCTTTTCTTCTGGGTATTTACTCCAAAATTCNAAATAAAAGGAGAACTGTTCCAGGCAGAGGGAATATCACGTGTGAATGCTTGGAAGAGAGAAACTGACTTGTGTTTGAGAATGTCTTGAAAGAAGGTAGTGTGGCTGGTGCTTGGTTAACAACAATGACCTATTATTGGAGAGTAGGCAAGGGCCAGATCATGCCCAGCTTTATAGGCAAGACTAAAGAGTTTGTAAAAAATAAATTCTAAATACAGTAGAATGCCATGAAAGGATATTTAAGTGGAGTAATCTGACCCTACTAATGTTTTTAAATGCTTACCATGGCTGCTTTGTGGAGTGGGGAGTGGGAGGAGGGATATGGAGAGAAGGGGAACAGGATTAGAAACTGGAAAACTTATTAGGTTATGCAGCAAGAAATGACAGTTGCTTATACTGGAGTGGTGATAGGAAGACGTTAGATAACTTTTGCAGGTTAAATGGAAAGAAACTTGGTAATTGATTGGAATGAGTGGTGTAGGAGAGGGAGTTGTAAAGGATGACAAGTGGTTTTTTGGCTTAAACAGGTGAGTGGATAGTGATTTATTTCCTGAGATTATTCTGGCTACTGGTTTGTGATACTTTTAACAAGTTGTGAAATATTTTTCCTGCTTTTCTAATGTTTTAAATTAAGTGTGAATATTGAATTTTATCAAATGCCTTTGTAGCTTTTATCATTTACTTTTTTATTTATTTTTTATTCTTTTACTTTTTAAAATTTTTTTAGCTGAGCCATCCTGCTACCCGTTGGCAGCTCAGTGGCAGCTCAGCTCAGGCTGGGAATCGAACCGTTGTTGCTCAGAGCTCAAACTCTTGCGTGAGCTCTTAACCAACTGAACCACTCGGCCAGCCCTTTTTATCATTTACTTTTAATTTTTACTATTGAATTGTTTTAGTTAGGACTACTTAAGTTGCAAACATCAGGCATCCAACTCACAATAATTTAAGCAAAAAAGTGAATCTATTGAATCAAGTACCCAAAGGGAGCAGAGGTAATAAACCTTGCTTTTAGGCTCAATTCAATGGCTACTGGGGTCTTAAATGACCCTAGTAGAACTGATGTTTCCCGCTCTCTCTCCCTTCCTCTCCTGCTCCATTCGTTGCTTTCCCTTCTTATCACTTTCACTCTCAGACAAGACCTCCCTAAGTGGGGACTCCTAAGTAACCCTAGGCTCCAGGCTCCTAGCTCTATGTACAGCAGAAATAATTATCCTGTCTTTCAAACACTTCCTGTAAACTTTAAGGATTTACGGTTTGGCTAGACTAAGTTGCATTACAGCCCCACCTAAAGACTTAGTATTTCTCCAAGAACAATTGATATGCTATTGTTAACAGAAGGCCAAAAGGCCGGCCAAGTGGCTCAGTTGGTTAAGAGTCACTCAAGAGTTTGAGCTCTGAGCAACAGTGGTTCGATTCCCAGCTCGAGCTGAGCTGCCAACAGTGATTTCTTGTTGTTATATTCCTATTTTAACTGAGGTTTTGTTTATCAGTGATCTAGGGTGAGGGTATTTGATCTTTCCCTTGGTTGCTTATGACCCCTCTAAACTGTGAGATAACATGGGAGAGATTTCAAAATGTAACCTACTTAACTTTCTATACTATTTCAACTACCACCAGTATTGGTACTGCCCATTCTGTAGGGAATCCACATGGATTCCCAGCATCTTCTTTTATTTTGGTTAAAATTGTTCTTCATTTAGATAGCAAATCTTCAGGTGTATTGTATGAGATTAGGACACTCATGTAGCTTCATTTGTGGACTATTCTTTTCAATTTCTACCTATATGTCATCTTTGTTTTGAGTTTGGGGAATGGACTTCCAGGAAGCCTGGATCTGTGCAGCTGTTTTCTTAGAAGTCTACTTTTTCACTTTTATTGAATGTTTAAGGAAAAGCCTTTTCTTATAAGTCATATGTTAAAATAACTTGATTTAATGTTAACACTGACAACTAATTATGTTTTTTTAAATGACTTGACAGGTTGGAATTCGAGGTACTGATATAGTTGTACTCGGGGTAGAAAAAAAATCTGTTGCCAAGCTTCAAGATGAAAGAACTGTGAGGAAAATTTGTGCCCTTGATGACCATGTCTGCATGGCTTTTGCAGGTACTTATAGAGACCTACAATAAAGATAACAAAGTAACTTTAGTGTGGTAGGGTAACACGTTTGGCTTCAATACAGCTTTTGTCTATATGTGTACACAACATATGTCATTATACTCCTTTTTTTTAAGATTTTATTGGGGAATTGGGAGAGGGCAACAGTATTGGGGAATCGGGGAAGGGGAACAGA